AATTAGGAGATCAGTTGAATCCACTACCTTGGATTCAACCTTACTGTATTTTCAGATGATTTTTATCAATTGACCTCACAACACTTTATTTAAAAAAAAAAAATAAATAACAAAACAAAAAGAAACCATGAACACTATATTATTCTTATATTATTGAGGATACTGAGAGGTTGAAACCAAGGTAGCAAAATCAATTTTTAAGGCTTATATGAGTAAAAAAACAGGAAACAAGGAATAAGTCGTATCAAATTAATGGTATAGCATGGCGATACAAGTTACCAAAAATCATCAGTAAAAATAAAAAAAACTTTACTTGGCCTGATAATTGATATGGTATTTTGCAATGGACAATAATAGGTTAATACTTCAAAATTAATCCACTCGATTGTCCGAGAGACACATTCTCTTGTAGATTAAAGCATTGGTTTAAACATATCCGGTTCTCTGGTAGTTGTGATTTCAATCCCTAAAAAGTCATATACTTGATTCAGTTGAAGAAACAGACAAGCAACACAAAGGTGAATATGCATGACTGGTAGTGTTAACTGATAGGAGTTATCTCCCCTGATCATGGAAAGCAGAATAAGAATAATCAACCCCTGTAGATTGAATGAAGGGGTTCAGTTCAAAATTCTTATTTGTTGAGTACAACAGATAGCTGAAAAAGTCTGGAATCTTGTTAGTATCACAACCAGAGTCTGAACGACAGGAAATATAATAAATGTATAGTGATCTGAAATGATTGGACTATTATGTATAATTGTTGATTATAAGCACAAAACTATACAAATTCAGTGATGAAAAGTTTTATTTATGTTTAAACGAGCTTAAAAGCCACCCTATCAGGGGGCATTTAAGTTAGCAGAGGGTTCATGATTGGTTCTTCATTACAATATGTATGAAGAGTAGATGCAATAGGCAACAATAAACTACAAAAGAACTCAAAATTAATCACTGCATTTAAGTAATGCATTCATATTTAAGCTTACCTTTTAAAAGTTCAATGATAATTCTTCTGCCTCCACTTAAAGACAATTTGATGAAGGTAGGTCCTTACTTTCCGTACAAACAATTATTTTTATTTCATGAGTGACTTTCACAATTACTTTTGATTATTTCCAAGTTATAAAAATTGTTATCATACAAAAAAAAATTGTCGCAAAGGATCACGGAAAACAACTGCAGTAATGAAAATTTTGGAATCCAAAATTTCAGGATCATGGGTCCAGATCCGGCTTTGAATGTTTTTAATTTTTCTCACAGAGTTGACCTGATTCCACTATGATATATGTGGGGCTACAGCTTCTAGGAGTAAAGTTGAAAAAGTGTGACACACTGACATTCGCATTTATTATATAGATGTAATGCTGCTGCTGCTGCTACTACTACTACTACTACTACTACTGAACTTTACCAGGAAGTATTTTTTTTTCTCTTAGCCAATCTCTGATTTCAGTTATTGACACTTATACTACAAGATTCAAACTGACAAGTTGTGATACAATTTCAAACAGTTTGTGATAATGCTTGACCTTTGGAATAACTTTGTTATACTTGCTTGAATTTTAGCAAGCTCACTAGTCAAAGCAGATATTAAATTATATTGGAAAGAAACCACTTGTATTGCACACCTGAAAATGTCTAGATTTCAGCATGAATAACCCATAGAGATGTTGATATGCCACTAAACCAACCAAGCTATATATGGTGGCTTTTCAAATTCAAACAGTAGTTTTGGTCTTGATTTAAGTCAAGGTTGTTTTTTTGCTGTTGCTATAGCAGGATGTGACGACACAACTGTGAAATTTAAATATACTGTTATTTGACAATTGGAGTCAACTGCAATGGTAGGAGAAATGCTTTTGTTGGTGAATCATGTTGCCTAAAGAGTGTTTAAGATTAAGGAGTCTGAGGAAATTTCACGAAGATTTAATAAAAGGGGTGATTACCAATTGGAATAAGGATTTCTCAGATGGGTTTTTCTCCAAAAGAAGAATATCATAATGTTTGTTTGAAACTCAAAGTTGTCCAATGATATGAAATAAGGAACTCTCTTCCTTTGTTAAATCTCTCTGCATTCTATAGTCAAGTAAAATACAGACTATTAACTGTTAAAACAGTTGTACTTTTCTATTACTACCACTACCTTTATTGGCAATTGCACTATTTGGGTATATGAGAATCACCAGGTAATTGAGAACAAATTATAAAGAAAATCACAAATAGTGAATTAAAAAAAAATTAGATTTGTATGTTTATTTAAAATTTGTGCACTCTGTCATGCTGAATAATTTTTCTCACCAGAATTTATCTTACATATTTATAAGTCTACCATCCATCCATTCAATACTGCTGTCAAATCTGGTCTGGTGCTTATGCTTGTTTAGCGGCATATCAACATCTCTATGGGTTATTTAATGCCAAAAGCTAAATATTTTGATTGGTTTGGTTGGTTGTCTTTGTTTAGCGGCATATCAACACCTTTATGGGTTATTTAATGCCAAAAGTTAAATATTTTGATTGGTTTGGTTGGTTGTCTTTGTTTAGCGGCATATCAACACCTCTATGGGTTATTTAATGCCAAATACTAAATATTTTGAACATCATTTTATGGCTTCAACTACAGATAAAATAGGTATTGTCAGGCATATTGCTATAAAATAGGTATTGTCTGTAATTTTTTTATTTCAAAATTTATTGCTGGTATTTTTGCTATAAAAATATATTTTTATACTTTCATGGTGTTTTGTTTTTGTTTGGGGTTCATTATTTTTCCATAGCTGAGACCCTAACAGGTGCTACAACCCAGGGTCAGGGTGTACCTGGGAACAACAGCAATTAAGGTGTTTCCACACTCCTCAAAACCTCCAATCTCTTGATCAGAGGCCTTACTGCTGGATGTAGTTTCTCATACCTAGGACTACCTTGATAAGATGTACAGGCTTTGTTTGCTCAAAGCCATTTTTAATCATTACTATAAAAATTTACAATAAAAATCTGTTTTTGATTTTTGTGTGGAGGTTCACTGTTTTCCCATAGCTGAAACCCTAACAAGTGCTACCACCTAGGGTGGACCTGGGAACAACAGCAGTTAAGAGTTGATTCCATGCTCCTCAAAACCTCCAATGTCCTTCCTGATCAGAGGTCTTGCTGCCAGATGTAGTTTATTGTCATACCCAGGACTAGCTTGAAAAAAGAAATTGGTTTGTAAGGTTATTATCAATTAGTTATATTCTTTTTCATATTACATCAAAGATGTCATTGTTTTATCAATTTATTTTTTGTAAAACTATGATTTGTATTAAAAATGAACTTAGAAGAATCAGAAAAAATACTTGTCTGATTTTCTGCTAAAATAAAGATTCAGACTTCTTTGATTTGGTTTCAAACTCTAGTTAGGTTTTTATCTGTTCTGTTTAATGAGTTAGTTTATAAACAGTAACATTGCAATTAAAACTGGTTAAGAATCACTCTTCTTTTATGTGCTGTGTCCCTTCAGGGCGTAGGCGATCACGGCCCTCCACTTCCTTCTATTCCTTGTAGCTCTCAATATGTTCTGTCCTTTTGCTACGTTTCCCAAACCCTGTTCCATCATTCACTTGCTTGTATGTCACATGTTGCCTTCCCTTGTCTCTCTTTCTCTGTATCCACTCTGTGAGTATCAGATTCTCCATGCCTTCCTTTCTCATTACGTGTCCCAGAAATTTCAGCTGCCTCTTCTTGATGTTAAGTATAAGCTTCCTCTTTGTTTGCATCCTCTGCAAAATCTCGTCGTTGCTCACATATTTGGTCCATGGTATCTTTAATATCCTTTTGTAGAACCATACCTCCGTTGCCACGAGTCTCTTCTTCATTAATTAGACCATCCGACATTCCCTGCCGTAAAGATGGACAGATATAACATCACAGTTCAGTAGTCTTTTCTTTGTTACCAACAAAATCCTCCTGTCCCATAATACTCTGCCTAGCTTTTGGAATGCGTCTTTGGCCATCCCAATATGTCTTTGGATCTCAGCGTTGCACTTATCATCCTCTGTCAGAACACTTCCCAGATATTTAAATTTCTGCACCTGCTTGATTTTAGTGTCCCCGACCTGTAAATCGCATTTTGGGCTCATCTTTTTACTGATGACCATGCACTCTGTCTTGTAGTCTATGCTTAGTCCCTTTTTCTCCCTCTCCTTTGCTAACTTCTCTAAGTGGTTTTGTAATTTCCTTCCCATGTCTGCTATCAAAGAACTCTAATGGCATACCTGCAAATTGATGGCAGGATATTCAAACCGTATTAAAGCGTGGGAGTTGCCTGATCATCAAGCAACATATCAGAGAACTGTAACATGTTAACAAAATAAGTGCCTCATATTAGTAGTAAAAATGCTCAAAGGAAACATAAAGTCTTTGTTGAGTTTAACATTTAGAATGTCAGGAATATGGACAATTGGAACTGGGCATTTTCAAGCATGTTTTAGTTCAGTGTCTGTCTATATTTCTGAGATGAGGTATTATGTACACTATTTACATTATTCAGACTATTGTCCTCATCTTGTCACCATATTTATTACAACGTTTCGGCCATTGTACGCTCTGGCCTTCTTCAGGTGGTTGGAATGTCAAACTACCAGTCTACCCCAGTGAGCAAAATAAAGGGTTCAGTTCGACATTCCAACCACCTGAAGAAGGCCTGAGTGTACAACAGCCAAAACATTGTAATAAATATAGCAACAAAGATGAGGACAATAGTCTGAATAATGTAAATAGTGTATGTTTGAGTTTGTGGATTTTTTATTCCCAATTTTATTTTCTGTACTAATTTTCTTTTCTTTTTCTTTTTTTTTTACACAGCAAAAATTTGTGATGACGACCTTGAAACTGGTCAAATACATTTATCCTTGTGAAAAACTTGCAGCTGGTAATAGGTCAACATCTGGTTACCTTGCTGATGATCAACAAAGGGAAAACGTCTTGAAATTGGCACTCATTGTGAATATAGGAATCTTTTTATGAGGCAACAGGTAAACCATTTTTTAAATTCCCTGCATCACTTTGCATCTGTTTTTCTTGAACCCATCCATCAGATTGCATATCAAGATTCCTTGAGATATTTAAAATAATTATTGGAAATAATTCATAAGATGTTTAGTCATCTTGGATCTTTTAGTTTTTTATTAGTGCCGTTGTTTCTTTGAAATTAGTTTGAAATTCATTTCTGCTTCAGAAAATTCACTTTGGAATCTGTGAACTTAAATAGGAAATTTCTTAGATATAACTAAAGTGCTTCACACCTACTGAAAATGTGAATCAATCAACTGACATTGTGATTTATTGAGACACCACCTCTAGTTAGCTGGCTGTTGACTTCTTCCACCTTTTGCTAGGTCTTATTTTTTATCCTACAAGGTTGCTAACAATCTGCTTCACTTGCAAGAACTTATAGGGTTTAGTCACTGACCCTCCAACAGTAGCAAACAAACTTACCCTTGCAAATACTCATATTGTGTCTGCATATATATATATATATATATATATATATATATATATATATATATTTATTAAAGACATTTTTTTATGTTTAACGTTGTTATTTTATAGATACAAGTATTTAAGCAAATGCTCTGTTTATGATAAACAGTATTAAATAACATTTACCGGCCTGAATGTCAGAAATTTTCATAGAAAATATTCGTTCTTTGACAGGATTCGAACCTGCATCCTATCTGGAACCGTCATATCGCTGTGACGTGCCTTACCTCTAGGCTACAAAGAACCGTTCGGTAGACAAGGTTGAATTTACTGCTTATAAACTCCAATCTTCCATGAATCTCGTACATTCATAACTGCTCTGGCGTATCGAATGTAAACAAATGACGTCATATATTAGTCGGACCTTGTCCATTTCTTAATATATGACGTCATTTTTCTACTGAACGGTTCTTTTTTGTAGCCTAGAGGTAAGGCACGTCAGCGTATATGACGGTTCCATATAGGATGCAGGTTCGAATCCTGTCAAAGAACGAATATTTTCTATGAAAATTTCTCGGACATTCAGGCCGGTAAATGTTATTTAATACTGTTTATCATAAACAGAGCATTTGCTTAAATACTTGTATCTATAAAATAACAACGTTAAACATAAAAAAAATGTCTTTAATAAATAAATTGTCGGACCTTGTCCATTTCTTAATATATATATATATATATATATATAACTTGCGAGTTAATGGTGAAAGAGGGTTTCATTCTTTAATATTCAATTGCAGCCAAAAGTTTTGTAACTGGTAGACAGAAACATGGATTTAAATTCCTTCCCATTCCTTCTAGAGTCTATTGATGGTGATGATAGGGAAGAGACATATCTATGAACGTAAAAGATCTCGTTAATTTCTTCTGAGGTTTTAACTTAGTATAAGTCATGATGCCTTCTGGGTTAATGAAATTACAGACCCTTCTTTGGATTTTGTTCAGAATCTTGAAAATATATTGCCAAAGCATTAAACCAGATATGGCAGCAATATTCAATGCACGGATTTATGGTAGATGTATATAATGTGCAAGATGGATTCTATCAAGGGACTGTTTTAAACTTTCAGCTTTCTAAAGAATACAAGGATGTAGTCAACAGAATATTGCCTAGAACACAAAAACCATATGGTTCTTGAAAATGACTGAGTTGGTTGAAAGTACTTGAACAAACATGAACTTCAGACAGTTTATCCACAATTTCCATCCCAATGTACAACATCTTATTCAAAAATTGGAATTGTAAAATAAAATGATTAAACAGACATGTTTAGGGTTGGATTTAATCAAACTTGTTTTGTTGAATACTTGCTGCCTACACACACACACACACACACACACACACACACACACACACACACACACACATATATATATATATATATATATATATATATATATATATATATATATATATATATATATATATACACACACACACACTTATGTACCACCCTTCTTTACTGTTATGGTAGTAGTGGGAGGCACAGCAACATACAATATAGACTCAAATTCTTTTACCAATGATCCTTTCCTGATTGATCAAACATGGCTGGGCTAAATGGAATCAATTAATGAACAAACATGGTAGGTGACAAACAACAGGAAGCATAGATCTAGCAATAGCAAATAACCATTTTATTACTGAAATATACAAATGTGGATTAAATAAATTGGGGTATATTAAACAATGAAAGATGGGGTAAAAGAAAACAATGAAACAAAAATAAATATTACGGGACAAAACAATGGGGAGGGGAACTTATCTTTTCAGAAAGGTAAATATTATATTGACAAACAACCTTGTGCCAAACTTGTATGAAATTACAAATGACAAAAAAGGCAAAATGAGCAAAGATAAAATAGGCAATAGAAACAAAGGACTTATCTGTTATTTGAAAAAGTCTTTCTTTTTCTTTTTCTCTTCTTTTCCTTTTAGTGTCTCTTATATGTTTCTCTTTTCTTTCATATTTCTTTTTATCTTTTCTCCCCTTCCTAGGTAGAAAGTTTATCTGTGAAATGGATTTCTTTTTAGTTTCCTTTCTTTCTTTTTCTTTTTTGTCTTGTCCAGGGGTTGAGTGAAGAATAAGTTGAATCTTTCTTTTCCTTGGCTCTCAGGATAATGTATCTTTCTTTGTTTCATTGTATCTGCTTCTTTTTGCATGCCAGAGTTTGATTTCTTTGAATCAACACTTTACTGCTTTTCAGCTCAGAAACCATAATAGATTTCTATCACTTCTGCACATCCAAATTTAAAGCAGATCATAGCAAGTTTAGCTGGACGTCCATTCAGTTTGAATTCTGAAGAGGGACTGACTTGATGGCAGTCTTTATTTTCGTGCCTTGATTTTGGCACTTGACCCATGACTTCCAAATATGGATTTTTACATGTGTGGGCAAAAAAAGGTTACTGACCCTTTTCCTTTTTCTGTCATATCTTGGAGAGTTCAAGGTTGCTTCAATGTCTGGATATCACGTGACCAATAAGAAGAAAGTGTACTTTTCATAGGATACATAATCTTTGCTTGGATGCATGCAAGTTTGATCAAGAACCATTAATTGTCACTTTCACTTTATTTCTTTTTCATTTTCACACTTTCTGAAAGTACTGGTCCTCATTTGGAGTACTTCTAAAATATAAACTTTACTGTTGATTTTAGAATAAAATTAGATGAGGGTTTGAAACACACACACACACACACACACACACACACACACACACACACACACACACACACATATATATATATATATATATATATATATATATAATTTATCACTTCGGTGATGGATGTTACCTTCAGTATCCCAAATTCAGAGTTTTGTTGACACACCCTCCCAAATTACTCCATCCACTCATCATTTAATTTTTAGTTGCACATTGAAACACACCAGTTCTTGTACAATCACTGAAGTTAAGCAACATTAAGTTATTACCTATATGGGTGACTGCATGGGAAAACCAGGTGCTTGCTTGGATGTGCAGGTGGTGCAATGGATAAAGTCTTGGAATTAGAAATCTGAGAGTCAGGTTCCAATTACAGTTATATTCACTTATAATCCAACTAGCTATAGGTTAATTTGTAGAATTTGTAGCAGTAAATCATTACCCCCCACACACCAAATTCTAATGATCTAAAAATATTTTCTGTCTTTAAATAACCTGCAAAAAGTTGATGAGACATTAAAAAAAAAACAAATAATTAATCATTTTTAGTTGATATGAATCAAACTGAAATTAGTCAGTTAATTATTGTATTGTAAACAGCAAAACTAGGTAACCTTGCTGGTATAATTTTGTCCCACTTTGGCTATCCTGGGAGTGTATGAAAAGGAAGTCATGTGAAATTAAAAATAAGTTTCGAGCATTTTTGAAATGTCAAGTGATGTCAGTTTAGTCTAGTGAATTCTGAATTCTGCCTAATTTCATTTGTTTGGTTATTAAAGAACATTATCTAAAAAATTATAGAAAAAAAAAGTTTCAAATTATTAGTATGAATATGTTAACAAGTGGTGTAACTATTAGATTTACCTTATTAGGTGATGGCAAATATTTACCCTACTCCTAAGGGTACAGAACAGTATAACACAAAATACTGTTTTAAGTTATTGGACACACTGAAACTGAGGTACATGATATTCTTGGTTGACTAATACTCCAACAATTATATGACAAACTGTTGTAAAATTCCTCATATCAGTTCAGTGGATTAAATAATGATTATTTGCTAGTGTGTTTCATGTTTTAAAATTATCTCCTGGGTGGATTTATTTTGAAGTTGATTTGCATAATTTATAAGCCATGATATGACGAGCTCTCCAAAAGTTGAGGGAATAAGTCTCTCTCTCTCTTTTTTTTTTTTTTTTTTCATTGTCTAATTCACTGAAATTTGGAATAGTACTTTGTACATTAATTTTTAGTTTCCTATAGTACATAATACCACACTTCATCCTCAGAACAATCATTGTGTAGACAAAACACACAATTTTTTTTTTTTTTTGGTTTTGTAAACAACTCATTTACAAGTGACTGTATTTGACTAAATCTGACATTAGTTTTGCTTAATCATCTTAATTAAGAAAAATATACAATTAAACAAAAACAGTTACTAAATATGTTATTTTATTCCTTATTCAAGAATTCTGCTAGTTTGGTTGAAATGTCTTTCTTTTCTATTTACTATGCCAAAGCACAAACAATTTAAGTAACTTGAGTAATAATTCTTGTACAGACATTAAGCAACCTGTGTACTGGTCAAAATCCTAAGTTGCTTATAAAATGAATATTGTGTAATTTACTACATTAACTGATAATACTTATTGTTATTTGTACGTTCAGAAGTTTCATTTTTCTTTTTTTCTTTCTATGACTATTAATTTTAAGTAGCATCAGTTGTAAAATAATCCAAGTACCGTGATCAAAAGCAATAAAATTGACTTAAAAAAAAAATTAATAATGACAATCTTAGTTCATCAAATTTATTCAAAGAACAAA